TCAGTGCACTACAACGTTACAAGAAATACTTAAAGGTATATACATAAAATCGCTATTATCGACTACATGAAATGGGTCAAAATATTGCAACGCTGGCTGGTAAACTTTGGAACTTTGAAAAATGAGCTTTGAGTGTTAATTGCTAAGTTTAGATCCATTCTAAGTGCAAGCGAGTGCTTGCCAATTAAAATGTCAAATCAAATTTTTCGTCCACTCACAAGACGAGCTCCATATAGAAATCGAGCCTGAACTCGTACTCAAATTTAAACCAACCCTAACTCAAAATTACATCTAAAATAAACCAGAATAAAGGTCTGGGGCCAACTGGCGATTTATTTTGTCGACCACCCTAAGGGAGAGGCTAGTCTCGACTATCACAGCTGACTCGAAGATATTGGAGAGCTCGTAATTGCAATAGAACAGATACGAAGTTAAAGCACAGCTTTACATTACCTTGACCCATTGTCAGTTATATATTCGTTTTTTACCCAAATTAATACCACTTAAAATAAATGCATTATGTAGATTTGTTCACTATGGGATTAACCCCGGCTATATTTTACCCACGTAATCACAGCTGGATAGCGCTATCCACAGGATAGCGGTTTTTCGAGCGTTCTAAAAATTGTATAACCCGGATTAAACTTTACTATTAATAAATTAAAGTTTCTTTCTATTAATTGTGAAGTAGTTTTAAAGCTTTTCAACCATCTTTACAAAGGTTGAAAAAACTGTCCGCTGGATAGTGCTACCCGGCTTTCGCACAAGCGCGCATTCCATCTTTTCACCGCGGTTGTAAACCTAAAACTTGTCAGAATTTGTTTTGGAGTTTTCCACAAATTACTTTTACATGTCGTTGGTGTCTACAAATGCTTGTAAACCATATACGGATTAATGTTGTGTCTATATATCTAATCATAATTGCAGTATGTACTGTACTGCTGTATATATATATATATTATTAAAGTTCATCATTATCAAACGAAGCTGTTTATGAGATACATGTGTCTTAAACGAACTCGTGAAAGTGGAAACTATCTTCTCTGTAGATTATTTTCCATTCTTGGATATACTTAATTTTGATTACAAAAGCAAAAATCTCAACGGGAAATTACAGACACACAATGAGCGTCGTGACATCATACAGTCAGTCAATCATTCCCCGTGTCGCAATATTTAAAATGCAGATCCTTAACTAAGTGTGAATTCCATGCCTGTAGCTTTACGTTTTGTAGAGGTAGCCTATCTTCCGAACGGAGGTAGGCATGGCGATGTGGAGACCACTAAGTGGACCAAAGTTAGGAATGGAAAATCAGGCAGATCCAAACCCTAATACCTTTTTCATTTGGCTTAAATGATTTTTAGCCAATTAATTTTTTGAAAATGTTTGGGAATGAGAGATATTCTCCCCAATTAGGGGCTGCTTACATGATCCTCTGTGCCGATACGATATGTGAGGTGAGATAATTTTGATGTATTGAAGTCACGGTGTACGATTCAGCAAAACTTCATTATTTTCCTAGTTAAAGATTAGAGCATAATTGGGAACGAAAGCTTGCTCAAGCAGCAATGATAATCTTCTTGAACTACGAGATATTCTCGACAACGTTTGAGTTATTTTAACCCACGTTTGAACTTTCGTTCAAGCCTAGTATTTATTTCAATGTGTCAAAATCATCCTGCCTCCCATGATTCCAACCCGTCCCAGCACCGGGATCAAGTAAACAGCTCCATATTAAATAATAGGCGATAAGTGCTTCCACTCCATCCACATGGTTTTGCACTTGATTTCAGTTGTATGTTCAGAAATTTCAATTTAAACTTTTGAAGTGTACACATTTTGGCATGTAAATTTGAATTTGTGGCTAGGATCTTGCAGAATATTTTCCATCGCTCCATAATGGCGCGTGAATCGTCAACTTCTGCAGCCATGGACTAAGTATATAGAACCTGATTGTACATAAACCCTGATTCTACATAAATTATATTATGCCAAAATTATGAAATTTTTGGTGCTTTTCTTTATTAAAAAATATTAAGTAATGGAGCATGGAAATATAAATCAACAGAAGTTCCTTTACAGGTGTTTTTTTGCGATAATAAACACTCTCGCACCTAACGCACGTTGGTACGAGCTAAGTGACATTGAAAATTGTGTTCCATTGAAGACCCACTAAAGCTCAATATCTAGTAATACATGTATATAAAAGAGCAGAACGTACGTGGTGCTTTGTAACACAACAGTATATTAATACATTACGTGACACCCACTCAATCTTTAAAGTGTGAATTGACATGTTGTGTAAAATCACGTTGTGAACAGTTGGGTGGGAAAAATATTTGACACATGGGACACTGCTGTCCAGGTTCAACAAGAGCTGGTTGTACAGTGGGCGGCGGTCCTCTGCTGTTCTCGACTACCACAGCTGATTCGAAGACATTGTCTATAAAAAAATTTTTATTATTATTATTATTATTGAAGTAATATTTTAACATGTCAGGAAGCTCCAATCACGTTATTAAAAACACAATATAAAAGTATATAAAAATCCAAGCCAACATTTATCAATGTATCTATTTAAAAATATTCTTAATTGAATATTTAAAATTCATTAAGCAATCTATCTAATTAAAGGATGTCACTGGCTGCGAGTCATGGGAAGAATTTCAAATAATAGAGGTTTCGTTCAAATACATTCCTTGATGCAGTGGAACTACTCTCTAATACGAACACCTCTCTAATACGCCTAGGTTCCGAAAAAATCGCATTTACTTTCTTAAGACATGTCCATCTGGGGAAATCACCTGGGTGCGAGATCAGCATGCGCGCACTGCATGGTTAATGCATATAAAAGTAAATTTGTTCTGACACGAGAAACCAGCCAGCCCGGCTAGGTCAATGTCACCGAGATGGGCATTCTTTTGCCGATTTTGACCTATAATAGGTAGTATTGAATGACCTAATCGAAAAATACAAACAAAACGTAACATTAATAGCCTAAGCAGACACTGTTCAAGCCGTAAAACAAAAGAAATATTCTGAAGACGCCATGTTTACATAATTTCGTCCCACCCATACGGCATTTTATAGGCGGGAGAAAAACAGCCATGTGAACACAGAAATAATTCATCTTCATTCGATGAGCTTCCAAGCCTCATATGAATAGGTCTTTAAAACATTATAACGGCTAGGGGTCCTCTCCAGCACGGATATTGAGAGCAAATACATATACTGTATATAAAATAAACGGGCTCTCTTTATTCGTGAATCATGCACAAACATCATTCTTTATCCATTTAAATTTTGTATACTTATTTGGGTGCTTCATTGTGACTATTTTGAGATGGTTGACAAAAGTACTGAAAAAGGATACATCAAAATGTTGACAATTTCCAAGTGGCCATTTCAGGGCTGACACAACATATACATGTAATTCCACGTATAATTGTTTGACTCACACCATTTTGGGTGGCAAATGTTTGATTAAGGTGGCTCCCTAGGGTTTTATTTCCGGGGGTTACGTTCTTCGTATATATGTAAACTAAAACTCGCGTGACTTCAAAATACGAACGAACGTTGTGTTTTATATGGAACTTTTTTTTAAACAAAAGTGTGAACTTTGCTTTAGTTGAAAGCATAAAAAGAGTTCTAAAAGCCAAAATGACACTTGGATGTGATGTTTCAAAAGAAAATAATGTAAACTTGTTTTTTTCAAGTGGTATTCTGGAAGTTTTTTGAACCGCCGTGGCGCCGTACGCGAGGTTCGATCGCAAACATTGGGATATGATATAAAGTTTCCACCAGAATTTGCAGTGTTTTCTCCACAATCTAGCAGCACTTATGACAATAAAGATGACTTAAATAATGAGCCCCGGCCCTCTACGGGTGAAATGAGCAGGGCCGAAACTCCAAACATACCACTATAAAAACTGAAATTTGAACGGGCATTTTGCGAAAACATCCGACGATAGTACTAATAAACTCGCACGGGACGAATTTTGACACATTTTTCAAATTAATATCAAGAAGTCATAACCAGTAATTACCTCAATATCTTTGCCAATGTTATATGTATAATCCACGCTTAGTTGACCATTAACCGACACAGTTATAAACAGTTTTTCAAACATAATTTATATTTTGTAATTTCAAAAAAGTCATGCCTTGTTGTTTTATACAAAATGCATGTACACGTCAGTTGGAGTATTAAATTGTTCGCGTGAAAATTTAGAAAAAATTGCCAAAATTAAACCCAAATTTCTCCCTTTTCTTTCGGTGAAATTTTTTAAAACTTTGCACATGTTTTAATATCGGCACAACAAGTGCAATATCCTTTTTTCTTAAAATTAAGGGAAAATTTTTAATATTGATTTTTGACGTTTTTAAAATTTTCTAAGAAAAGTATCGATTTAATTTTTTTAAATTGAGAGGAAAAAATCATTATACAAGTATTACCTTTTATGCAAAGTTTTAAAAAATTTCACCGAAAGAAATTTTTAAAATGACCTGAAAAAGACAAATTTTGAGCTTTATTCTAAGCATGCTGTTGCCATGACAACAGATTTTTAACACAAAAGTAGCAATTTGCAATGTTCAGGAGAACATTGTCAATGTGTCCAATAAATTTCGTCTTTATGTCATGTAAAGTGAAGAAACAGGAGTCTCCTGAATACTATAGTGTAATAAATTCAAAAACCCTAGGGAGCCACCTTAAAGCTAAATAAAAACATACACGGCACAATTTGTTGACAAAATTTCGCAGATTCACGTCAGTAGAGCTTCAGTTGATCACACCAGATCACTTTTATTTTGATAAGTGATTTTCTTTGCATTGCAGAACATGATTCAGACAGTGATTGCCATTAAACAAAAATTCAGACAGTGGTTGCTGCCGAACACAGCGCCCAACGTTAATTTGCTACCCACAATGGCATGAATTCTTAGCGTGACGTGATATTAGGTTCGGCTGAAAAAATAGGGTCGATCGAGAAACAAGAACCACCGAATATTTTTTGTTACACCAAAAGTCATTGTCACGACACCAAAACATTTTCAAATTATATATTCGCTCGTTCGTTTGTCCCAGTGAGCTCTATATATATTACATATGTTTGCAGTAAAAACTTTTGTAGAGGTAGCCTATCTTCCGAACGGAGGTAAGCATGGCGATGTGGAGACCACTAAGTGGACCAAAGTTAGGAATGGAAAATCAGACAGATCCAAACCCTAATTCCTTTTTCATTTGGCTTAAATGTTTTTCAGCCAATTAATTTTTAGAAAATGTTTGGGAATGAGAGACATTCTCCCCAATTAGGGGCTGCTTACATGATCCTCTGTGCCGATACGATATGTGAGGTGAGATAAAATTTTGATGTATTGAAGTAAGTCACGGTGTACGATTCAGCAAAACTTCATTATTTTCCTAGTTAAAGATTAGAGCATAATTGGGAACGAAAGCTTGCTCAAGCAGTAATGATAATCTTTTTGAACTACTGCAAATATATTGCATATATTTGCAGTAAGAACTTCAGTCACTCGGTTTACGAGCGAAGGTGCACGTGGCGGAGACCGACGTTCATGCATAGAAGGTCGTAAACATGCAGTTTGCTTACTACCAAATCCAATTTTCCCCACAGAATGTATCGCTAGTAAAGTTATCAGGTCTACTGATTTCTACGCGTATATAATTTCCAGCCTACAGTAGACCTAGGCCTTCTAGTCTTATTTATATATTTTTAATATTCAGCGCTTTTTCACAGGAAAAGACTGGGACTAGGTGATTTGGGGGCGGGGCGGAGGAAGCAAGCCTAGAAGGCCTAGTGGATTTCCCAACAACAAGGCCAAAACTGCTCTGAAACTGCCATGGTTGCAAAATGCCCAATTATTGCGTTCTCGGACGGAATTATTTGCAACTTAATGGGAATTTAAACCGATACAGGTAAAATAAACTCATTTATAGTATAAACTTACTATTTTTATTTGTATACACGTCTAGAAAATCGGGTTTTTTATCATAAAGTTCGAAGCAACACTATTTAATATTTAATTATATGTTGACAAGGTGTAGCGAAAGCACACAAAATGAGTCAAAATATATGCCAAAAGTAGAATCTTTCATGAAATTTTGTCTTATACACAACTACATTAATATATATTTTCTCAATTTTGGCAAGAAGCAGTCTTGTGTTTGTAAAATATACAAAATAAAACGGATACATATATTATTAGCCCGTACAGTACTGTATATAAAAACGTACATTGTTTACAAATGGTATATCTGTAATATTTGAACAATAATTTCAAAATCCTCATTCCCAATTCGCAAATATAGTTATTCAAAGCAAAACAGTAGATTGTCTTGCGAATAAAAGAATTATTATTTTGTGCCGTTTCGCTACACCTTGTCAACATATATAAATAGTGTTGTTTCAAACTATGATAAAAAACCCGATTTTCTAGACGTGTATACAAATAAAAATAGTAAGTTTATACTATAAATGAGTTTATTTTACCTGTATCGGTTTAAATTCGCTGTTAAGTTGCAAATAATTCTGTTTGAGAACGCAACAATTGGGCATTTCGCAATCAGGGCAGTTTCAGGGCAGTTTTGGCCTTGTTGTTGTGAAATCCACTGGGCCTTCTATTTTTTCGCTTGCGTCAGGCTTGTGTCCTTCCTCCGCCCCGCCCCCAAATCAACTAGTCCCAGTCTTTTCATGTGAAAAAGCGCTGAATATTAAAAATATATAAATAGAAATAGAAGGCCTAGGTCTAGGCTG